TCATTAATCAAGCTGTGCTTATCCAGATGGCTTCTTATATTATCAGCTATAATTGACTCTAGCAATTTGCCTACAATTGAGGTCAGGCTTACTGGGCGGTAATTTGACGGTAACGACTTGTCCCCTGCTTTAAAAATAGGAATTACATTAGCCATCTTCCACATATCAGACACTACACCTGTTTGAAGAGAAATATTAAAAATATTAGTCAATGGTTCACAAAGTTCCATTTTACACTCTTTAAGAACCCTTGGAAAAAGTTCATCAGGGCCCGGGGATTTATTTTGCTTTAACTGGTCTATTTGTTTGATAACCAATTCGGTAGTGACTGTGATATTGCATAATTTATCATCGTCAGGTCCACTATAAAAATTAATTACTGGGATATTGTCAGTGTCTTCCTGAGTGAAAACCTAGAGAAAATAATTATTAAGAATAGAGCACATTTCATTCTCCTTGTCAGTGAGATGCCCAGCGTTATTTTTAAGGGGACCTATCTTATCTCTAACTGTTGTTCTATAAACCTGGAAGAAACTTTTTGGGTTAGTTTTAGAATCCCTAGCAACCTTAATTTCATAGTCCCTTTTAGCTTTTCTTATCCCCTTTTTAACGTCCCTCTTAATGTCATTCATAAGATTCATAAGATGACCCTCACCTCTTTTGATGCGCCTATAAATTCCTTTTTTCTGTCCTAAAAGATATCTGAGCCTATTAGTCATCCATCTGGGGTCATTTCTATTCGATCTAATTTCCTTATATGGGATAAATGTCTTTTGGGCAGCATGTATCGTGTTAAGAAAGCTGTCATATTGATAGCTCTCTTCGTTACCCCAGTCCACAGATGATAAGTGTTCTCTAAGCCCTTTGTAATCTGCTAAGCGAAAATCTGGGACTGTTACTGAATTATCCCTACTGTCATACTTCCATTCAATGCTAAAGGTAATTGATTTGTGATCGCTTGTGCCGAGTTCCTCTGTAATTTCTAAATTATTAACAAGAGTTTCCTTGTTTGACAAAACCAAGTCAAGAAGGTTATTTCCCCTTGTAGACTGTATCACAAACTGCTTCAAAAAACAATCCTGAACTACTTCTAAGAAGTCGCTTGATAGTAAATTCCCAGTCAAGAAATTCCAATCAATATGACTAAAGTTAAAGTCTCCTAGAATTACTACATTATCGTGCCTTGTGGCCTTAACAATTTCCTCCCATAGTAGTCTCCCTTGATTCCTAAGTTTGGGGGACGGTATATCACACCTAAAATAAATTTTTCATGTCCCTCTGAAAATTCTATCCAAACAGACTCTGTGTGTGTTACTTCAGACTTAATACCCGTTTTTATGCAATAGTTCAAGCGATCTCGGACATACAGTGCCACCCCACCCCCCTTCCCGATACTTCTGTCTACTTGGAACAATTTAAATCCCTGTATGTGACATTAAGCAGGCATGTCCCGATTTTTCGTATTGAATCTCGTATCAGTTAAGGCAAATACATCAATGTTACCTGCACTAGCAACTAGTCTCAACTCGTCCATCTTATTCCTAGCACTACGACTATTTGTGTAATATATATTTAAGGACCCTCCTTTTTCTTTACCCTTCCTTCTCCTTTCTGTTATTCCACTAAACTTATTACTGTCCTTGTCACCTAATGCCACTGGCTTTCCAATATCCACCTCGTTTTGCCTATTACTAGTTTTGCTAGTACTCATATTACTACACTGGGACTTGACTGTTTTCCCGCCAAAACCCATACCACTAACTATTCCTAGTTTAAAGACCTAACAGCTCCCTCCACTGCGTTTTCCCATGCTCCCACCCCAAACCTAGATAAGTGAACCCCATCCCTGGCTTACATGTCATTTCTGCCATAGAAGAGGTCCCAGTTGTCAATGAATGTTACCGCATTTTTCTTACAGTATTTGTCCAGCCAGCAATTGACACCAATTGCCCTGGACAACCATTCATTTCCAACTCCACTCCTTGGCAAAATACCACATATGACAGGGTTCCCACCCTTCCTCCTAATTATCTCTATTGCTAACCTATACCTGCTAATCAGGTCCTCACTCCTACGTCTGCCAACATCGTTGCCTCCAGCACTGAGACAGATAATAGAATTTCTCCCATTACCTCTCATAATGTCATCCAGACAGCTAACAATATCCTTCATCCCAGCCCCAGGAAAACACACTCTCTGCCTCCTACTCCTATCCTTCAAGCAGAATGCCCTATCCATGTACCTAATCTGGCTATCCCCAACAACAACAATGTTTTTACCTTCCTTGTCGACGTCCGTCGTGATGTTCCCAGTAGTCGACTCACATTCGTTAGGTAGCACTTCACCTTCACTTGTGGAATTCGTCAAGACGTTCTCGATGGTCTTCGTTGGTGTTTCTAGGGATGTCTCACTCACGTCTGCCAATGCTTCCTTGGTGCTCGTTGTGGCATTCCGAGTAGAACACCCACATTCGTCAGTTAGCACCGAAAATGGGTTGGAAGTTTCCACAGTAGTCTTTTGGTTTCTCGTTGTTTCTGCCTCTCCAACAGTCTTCTTGATCCTCAGCTTGGTTCCATGTTGCCCGGCCACTGACCAAGTTCCCCTCTTAACCTGGAGACACACAACAGGAGGATTACTACGAATCCCCTTGTTCTCCTCCGTTAATCGCCGAATCTCCAGCTTTGCAGCCCTAAGCTCTTCTTTCAGCTGCTGGTAAAGTTGCTCAAGAGAGGGCATCGTGGTTCAGATTCACAGAGACGCACAAACAGGTCTTCACAGAGCTAAGTACACGTCACCACTGAGCTAAGTACAAGTCACCATCTTCCGTATGAAGTAAGAAGAAGAATGAGGGGAGACATGATCGAAGTGTATAATCTGTACTTGTTCTTAGTTCTTATGTAGGAATCACAGTTCTTATGTAGGAATCTCCCGTATGAAGATAGACTTAAAGCCTTAAATCTCCACTCTCTGGAGAGACGTAGAATGAGGGAAGATATCAAAGAAATGTATAAGTGGATGACGGGCATAAACAAGGGAGATATTAATAAAGTACTGAGAGTGTCGAACCAGGTAAGAACCAGAAATAATGGATTTAAGTTAGATAAATTTAGATTTAGAAAGGACATAGGTAAGTACTGGTTTTCTAACAAAGCTGTAGATGCGTGGAACAGTCTTCCCAGTAGGGTGATAGAGGCTAGGACCTTGGGTAGCTTTAAAAAGAGATTGGACAAATATATGGGTGGGAGGGGATGGGTTTGGCGTCATTGGGTACGGGAGATACTTCTTTGGTAGCTTTAGGTAGAGGTCATTTTGATAAGAACCTGCCTCGCATGGGCCAGTAGGCCTTCTGCAGTGTTCCTCCATTCTTCTTCTTATAAGTGAAAGATGGGTATTAATAAAGGGGATATAAATAAGATCTTGATGATATGTCTCCAAGAGAGAACCTGCAATAATGGATTCAAATTAGATAAGTTTAGATTTAGAAAGGATAAAAGAAAGTATTGGTTTGGATGAGCGGAACAGTCTTCCTAGTAGGGTTATTGAAGCTAAAACCTTGCGTTGTTTCAAATTGAGGTTGAATAAATACATGAGTGAGAAGGGTTGGATTTGAGTTGGACTTGCGCATGAGTGAATAGATTTATCAAAGCTTGGGTAGCTTTGAAGGTGGGTTGTGCAAATATTCTATTAGTGGGATGGATTTGTGAAGGACCTGCCTAGTATGGGCCAACAGGCCTGCTGCAGTGTTCCTCCTTTCTTATGTTCTTATAACCTAGGAAAGCAGTGGCTGTTGTTATAAATAGAATTACTACCCCAACTATTCAGGCACGAAAAAGGGCGAAGGAGCCATAGTAGATTCAACGACCAGTATGAGAATAAATACAAATTAAAAAAAAAAAACCGAGGCTCCATTAGCATGAATTGTTCGGAATAATCAACCGAAATTTGCGTCTCGACACATATATGGGCTACATTTGTAAAAGTTAGGTCTGTAAGAGAAGAAAAAAGAACAGAAGGGAATAATAATCCTGCTGGGATTTGAGCGACAAGGTATAAGCCAAGAAATGAACCAAAATTTCCTATAATTGAAATATTTCTTGGGATGGGTATATCGATTAATGTTCTGTAAGGTAAAGGAAAAGTCATTTGTTTTAGTTTTTATCATTTTGGCAATTTGTGGATTAAGGGTATTTATTTCTAATCACAAGCATTTACTAATAAGTCGAATTGGTCATTTAGGCCTAACTCCCTTAAATAATGGACTTTTATAAAATTTCATTTTACAGATTTTTAGATATATTTTTTTCACTTTAAATAACACAAAGCAATATTATTGGACCAACCCTAACTTAGAAACCTTACGTAATCTAATTCTACTAAATATGTGACAGGTTAGTTACAGAATAAGGAAGTTGAAATAACCATTACATATGTTTTGTGCAAGAATTTAATTCCGCTTTTAGAAATTTTATAAGGATTAATTTTGATATACTGTTGTTGTTACTTGAAACATATTGCATGCCTAAGTATGATAAATTAGACACATGTGCAGCTCTTGGGTATCTTTATTGAGGAAACATTTCGCCACACAGTGGCTTCATCAGTCCATACAAGGGAGAATCTTACAAATTAAAGGATTAAAGATTCTCCTTTGTATGGACTAATGAAACCACTGTGTGGCGAAATGTTTCCTCAATAAAGATACCCAAGAGTTGCACATGTGTCTAATTTATCAACGTGTCGGTTTTCTGAACCATTGATCTACAGTGCCTAAGTATGGATGGCAAATGTGTAATAGCTATAAAGTTTTAAATGTAAATATGGAATACTTATAAAGTTTTTATTTGTAAATATGGAATAGTTATAATTTTAGTTTTAGGTATTTCAGTATTTTTCTAGATTTTTTTTTAAATCTATTCAAGTGATTTTTAAAGTGTTGGTGTTTCAATTATTGTATTAGTCATAATGCTGCTCATATAAGTAATAGGTTGTATTCTTAACAGTTAGCTATTTTTAATACAGCTCAATAAAAAAAAAATATTTTTTAAACATATTTACATACTTCTAAAACAGATATATAATTTTTCATTCCTTTCCAAACTTTTTATTAATACATATTGTATAATTTTTAAATAATTTGGATATAATCAAATGTAGGCCATGTTGGTCACAAGTATAGTTTTAAAGGTGTCAGTTAGATATTTATAATAAAACACAATATATCCTTATTACAAGTACTTTCATTCTTTGATCATCAGGAATTCTTGACCATATATGTGTATATATTTGATGTGCGGTGTGTACTGTGCTGTATGGGTATATGTAATGCTTGGTGTGTACTGTACTGCAGTGTGTGGGTATATGTAATGCTTGGTGTGAACTGTACTGCAGTGTCTGGGTATATATAATGTGTGGTGTGTACTGTGCTGCAATATATGGGTATATGTAATGTGTGATGTGTACTGCACTGCAGTGTGAGGGTATATGTAATGTGTGGCGTGTACTGTGCTGGAATACATGGGTATGTGTATATGGTGTGATGTTTGTGGGAGTGCAGTGTGTAGGTGTATGTAATGGTGTGGTTGTAGTTACTGGTGCTGACTATATATATGGGTATATGTAATGTGTGGTGTGTACTGTACTGCAGTGTGTAGGTATATGTAATGTGTAGTTTTACTGTACTGCAGTGATGTGGGGTATATATAATGTGTGATGTGTACTGTATCTGCATGTGTGTGGGTGTATGTAATGTTTTGTGTGAACTGTCTGCGTGTCTGGTATATGTAATGTGTGGTGTGTACTGTACTGAAGTGGTGTGTATTATGTAATGTATGGTATTATGTTGTACTGCCAGTGCGTGGGTTATATGGGATACTGTATATTATTGTGTTCTGTACTGCATGTGTGGGTATATGTAATGTTTGGTGTGAACTGTACTGCAGTGTGTGGGTATATGTACTGTGTGGTGTGCACTGTACTACAGTGTGTGGGTATATGTAATGTTTGGTGTGAACTGTACTGCAGTGTGTGGGTATATGTAATGTGTTGTGTTTGCTGTACTGCAGTGTGTGGGTATATGTAATGTGTGGTATGTACTGTACTGAAGTGTGTGGGTATATCTGGTATGTGATATGTACTGTACTCCACTTTGTGGGTATATGTAATCTGTGGTATGTACTGTACTACAGTGTGTGGGTATATGCAATGTGTGGTATGTTCTGTACTGCAGTGTGTGGGTATATGTAATGTGTGGTATGTACTGTCTGCAGAGTCTGGGCATATATATGTGTGGTATTACTGTACTGCAATGTATGGGTATATGTAATGTGTGGTGTTTACTGTACTGCAATGTATGGGTATATGTAATGTGTGGTGTTTACTGTACTGCAGTGTGTGGGTATATGTAATGTGTGGTATGTACTGTGCTGCAATGTCTGGGTATATGTAATGTGTGGTGTTTACTGTACTGCAGTGTGTGGGTATATGTAATGTGTGGTATGTACTGTACTGCAGTGTGTGGGTATATGTAATGTGTGGTATGTACTGTACTGCAGTGTGTGGGTATATGTAATGTGTGGTATGTACTGTACTGCAGTGTGTGGGTAATATGAATGTGTGGATATGTTAACTGTACTGCAGTGTGTGGTATATGTAATGTGTGGTATGTACTGTACTGCAGTGTGTGGGTATATGTAATGTGTGGTATGTACTGTACTGCATATATTGAAATAAAGATTACTGAGTGATCTACAAGTCTTCAGCTCGTGTTGTCTGCATTATTGTTGTCTCTTCAAAGGAGGTTCCTTGATAGCAATGAAGGGCTCTTGAGCTAAGGAATTTTGCGCGCCTTTTCCTTCTTTGGATCAAACTTGAATTCTTCCCATTCTCCCAAACGCTAAGTGACCCTTGCGGGTTTGCCACTTCCCCATATATGTAATAATAATAATCTACGTTTCTTATCTCCACTTATTTTATCTTTTTTAGGCTTGTCTCTACTAATTTTGCCTCTATTAATCTCTTCTCTAAGTTTTGCATCTCATAATCGTGTCATCACTAGTCTTGTCTCTGCTAGGTTTGCCTCTTCTATTCTTGTCTCTACGATTATCATTTCTACTAGTCACGCCACCTGTCCCACCTGTCTTGCCTGAGGCATGGATGAGGCTGGAGTCCTCGCGTCGCCACCTATAGGTTGGCTCTGGCTTGCCGCTGGCACCGCACCGGAGACGCACTTGCTCACCCTCCTGCACCTCCGTGTCGCTGCTTGTGTTGACGTCTTGGATCTTCGGTGGCACTGTACACAGAAGATACATTTGAATTACTTAAAGAGTGCCTTAGCTCTCTACATATATGTTTTATAAATATACTCGCACTAGTGTATGTAATAAGCAGTGGTCTGTGCCACAGAACCCTGAAACTGGCAATAAACGAGGACTATATATGTCGGTCTCATTTTAAAGGTCTTTCAGACTGAGTGTATCTTCTTGGAGCTAGGAACTTCGCCGTAGATTTTTAATGCTTTCCTCTTCCTAAGATCAAACCTAATTACGTCCAATTCCAGTGACATTATTCCTTGTCTTTCCGTCTTTCCTTCTTGTAACACAAATTCTAAATGTCATGAAATTTAAAATGGTATAAACATTAAGGAAGCCATAAAAAATTATAAAGGTTATATACAATCCTTATAATGAATGCAGTGAATGTAGCTTTTGTGTTTAAATATTTTACATCAGAAACTCATTAGGAAAGCAGTAGATTTATTTTATGCAAATGTTCTGAAAAAGAAGAAAAAAATATGACATCATCAGGCGAGACCTTAACGCTTTCAGTAATATATACATACATGTATATACATATGTCGTGCAGAATGGGTAAAACTTTCAATTTTGGCTTAAATAGCAGCGCTCTTCTTGCCGAGTAAGGTAAGTGAAAATTTGTGTATGCAATAATTTCGCAAAAAATATTCTAAACCTAACGACAAATGTATATATTTGATTGTGTTTGTTTATTATTAAATTATTGTAAACTTATCTAAAATATATTTAATGCGTAATAAGCTAAAATAAATTGTGCTTGTTAAAATAAGGTTAGGTGAGGTTTCCAAGGTTCTTTTGGTACAAAATTATTATTTTTTACATTAACATAAATGAAAAAAATATATCTTTAGACATATAAGAGAAAATTTTAGAAATTACTTAATTTTAAATGAATTCTTGCTAATTGACCAGTTTTACAAATTCGGTGCGACACATATAATATAATTTATTAACCAACTCAGAGCGCTTTCGTTGCTAATGGCTGCGAAGTTGTTGAGAGATGACTGCTAAATAGTCCGAGAAATGAAGATCTCTGTTCGAAATTTAAAGGTCATGAACTACTGACCGAGCGTTGGTCTGCCAGTTAAACTCGCATAACGTGTCCAGGGACCCAACAAAAAACGATGTTTGTGTTTACTAGAAATGCGGCATAACCAGGACGATGGAATGAGAGGTATAAAATTTTTAGATAGCCTATAATGCTAGTACTATATGTGTCTGAAACTACTACAAATGACGAGGCAGGTATTGATACAATACGTATGATGGCCGAGGGCCTCAACGGAATGGGACGGACAACGATCCATTTTCCCCTCAACCAAGGAGCTACAATTAGCAAGGGAAACCCTAAAGGCTGTATTTGTAAGAAGGGGGTGAGGAGAGGAGGTAGTATAGGAAGGGGTGGGGAAAGAAGGAGAAGGGAGGAAAGGGGAGGGGAAAGGAAGAGTAGGGGGTTAAGAGATTTGGTCCAAGGAAAGAGATAAGAAGGACCAATTCTTTATGTCAAGAGTCTCTTCACCACGTCATTGGACCCTCCTTGAAGAGGTTAGTGCTAAACTAGAGGTTTATGTAGCCTAGGTTTGTTAATATGATGCTGTCTTTGAGTACATCTCTGCTGTGTTGTGTCTGCCGTGCAGTGTGCGTCTTCGGTTCTGCTGTACTGTTAAACATTTTGGTTTCTTGTCAATACAATCGGGTATATAAGATACTTTAAGTAGTAATTATGCTTGTGGTGGTAGCAGTAACAACATCAAAAGAAAATGCAGCAACAACAGTAACAACAGAAACAGCAGCATCAGCAACAACAATAGTTACAACAACAATAATAGCTACACCAACAGCACAAATACAACTGCAATAACAGGACAAACAGCAACAACAACAATAGAAGCAGTAGCAGCAGCAGCAAAAACAACAGCAGTAACATAAGTATCAACATCAAAATCAACAGTAACAACAATAACAACAACTACAATAATAACCACAATATTAACAACAGCAACAAAATAGCAACAGCAGCAGTAGGTAAAACCTCAGTAATAACCGCAGCATCAGCAGGAGTAGTGATATCAAGTCTAGTTTTTACTTCTTTCTCCAATCAAATATGTAAGTTTTATAAATGAAACAATACTACAGTGCAAATGCGAAATAAAACCTTAGAACTTTCATGTGCCTACCCACACATCTTCAGAAAATATGTGTAAGCATATGAAAGTGCTCAGGTTTCGTTTCCTGTTTTCACTGTGGTATTTTGTTCATATTTACAATCACGCAAAACGCGTGATTGTGATTTCTCTTCCACTGTTTTGATGCTGGCAATGTGAGCGGACATAGGGTTAAGTAGGATAAAGCATTTTGCTATAATATTTTGACATTGATTTCTAGAGAGATAATGATAGCCAGATTGCAGATAAGTCCTCGCTAGGTAAAGTTGATAAAGATTGTTTAATCTTTTGTTATATCTTTTCTATGTGTTCTCATGTACCTATTCTTCAACTCGCTACCATCCAATTTCCTCACACATCATTCCTTCCTTTCTTCTTACCTTCATTTCCTATCCCTCCCCAACTTTCCACATTGTTCTACTTTTTTTCTCGTCTCCATCCACTACTCACTCCTCTTCCTTATTCCCAAACTCTACTATTTTCCTCCTTGCTCTCCTTCCTCCGTGTGTAAAGACCTGTCTCAAAGGCC